AGTATTATTAAGTTATTTAACGTTAGTATATATTACTTACTTATTATATAGTATATACTACTTATTATTATATATATATATATAATATTATATATTATATATATATATATATATATATATATATATATATATATAAAATCACTGTTGAATAGAAAATAGAATCTGGCTTCATTCAGTCTCAGTCTCATTTGGTTTGGCTTTTGGTGAGGAACAGTATGATACGCAATACTTCTATGAGATACTAAGTGAGACCAAGAACGCCAGCCGCCAATTCTTCTTCAAAACTCCTCCCCCAACTGGACCCGATGTTCCATACACTTTCGGCGTCATGGGTACCTCCTCTCTCCATTAATGTCTGATGATCATTAAACTGAGTTCAATCTCTTCCTTTTGCTTGAGTTCATATGTTTTGATCATTCTTTCAAAGCAATGGATGATTCATAAGATCATTCTTTCAAAGCTTTCAAAGCAATGGATGATTCATAAGATCATTCTTTCAAAGCTTTCAAAGCAATAGATGATTCATAATTAGCTTTCAGAGCAATGGATGATTCATAATTTTTTACGGTTGCAGGGGACCTTGGTCAGACACTTGATTCAAAAAACACACTAGATCACTACAATTCAAATCCAAAAGGCCAAACCATGCTATTTGCTGGTGATCTCTCTTATGCGGATGATCACCCATTTCATAATAATATCCGTTGGGATACTTGGGGCCGATTCGTCGAGAAAAATGCGGCCTACCAACCGTGGATTTGGACACCGGGGAATCACGAGATTGATTTTGCTCCTGAACTTGTAAGCATGTATTTTATGTATAATGCCTTATTGATCTTATTGATATCAATTTACTCACAGGAAAATGGTAATCATGCTACCAGTGACAAGATTAATATTAGATGATACTCTGTTTATTGATGCTGTGTTTTTTTGGATGTTGTTTTGAATCGAAAATGAATTGCCTGAAATTGGATTTATTTGTTTAGGGTGAGACAGTGCCTTTCAAGCCATACAAACATCGGTATCATGTGCCATACAAAGCATCGAACAGCACATCACCACTTTGGTATTCTATAAAGCGTGCATCAGCCTATATCATTGTCCTTTCTTCTTATTCTGCATATGGTAATGATTCATTCTATATTAACCAGCAAGAACAGTAAAAAAGAAAAAGAAGAAGAAATTCAACTAGAGTTAAATATGCTCATCAATTTTAATTATGTAAATTTGGAATGGATCAATGGATATGATTGTGTGGACTCTAACTAGGAGGTATTTCTAAAACTCCAAACTTATATTGATCAACCTTTAAAAGAAGGACCTTGAAACTACATGAAAAAAAATCTCACCCACTGTCAAACCTGAGTATTTAGGTACTCAAAACCCTATTCTTTTTTCTTCGAAAAGTACATATGGTGATTTCAAAGTGGATACCAAAATTTCGCATCAAGAGAATCCTCCTTCGTATGTCATTTGCTCGAGGAGTGAATGTAAATTTTGCTCCTGCGAGAGCATACTCTGTTTATTTACATGACCTTTATGGTCATTTGAATAACAGCCGAGGGCGTTCTCAATAACATTTGGTTGTATGTCACTTGTATGGAAACTGAGAATTTTGTCCCAATAATGTTTGTTTTGCAATTCGCTTTATTTCTTTTCAAGGTTCTTTTTAACTGTTGTATTACTTTACATGGATGATACTTATTTGCTTATGTTTTTTAGGAAAGTATACTCCTCAATATCAGTGGCTCCAAGAGGAATTTCCCAAAGTGAATAGAAGTGAAACGCCGTGGGTAATTGTCCTCTTACACTCACCGTGGTATAATAGTCTCGACTACCACTACATGGAAGGGGAGAGCATGAGGGTAGCATTTGAATCATGGTTTGTGAAGAACAGAGTTGATGTTGTGTTTGCTGGCCATGTTCATGCCTATGAACGATCTGTAAGTCATTTCACTATGCGTTCATGTTCTGATTTTATATTGTTTCCCACGTTCTAACATTATAAATCCATTTCTAATGAAGTTCACTGCCTTGGATGCTAGCAAGTTCTTTTCAAGTCTTTGTTTAGATTTAATAAGGATTCAAAATTTTCTCCTTTAATTGCAGGAACGCATATCAAACATAGCATATAACATCACCAATGGGTTGTCCACTCCAGTTAAGGACAATTCAGCTCCTGTCTACATAACAATTGGTGATGGCGGAAACATGGAGGGAATAGCCAACAGGTAAACCACTGCATCTCACTCTTTATTTAGGGAAAATAACTTATAATCCTCAATATTGTGGAGAACTCATAGTTCATTTGGTCGTTATAATCTAATGAAATGATGAATGGTGAAGGGGAGAGATTTAAACCCAGTTAAGTTTCATATCCCCTTCCCTTGTGAAGGGGAGAGATTGAAACCCCAGTTAAAGTTCCATATCCTGTTCTGTTGTGTCCGATGACTCTAGGAATGGACGTTTGTTTTCCCGTAGGATATTTGTGATGAATCCACTTGTGCTCATTTTTGCATATTTGTGCAGGTTTACAGAACCTCAACCGAGTTATTCAGCTTACAGGGAGCCAAGCTTTGGGCATTCAATTTTCGATATAAAGAATCGAACACATGCTTATTACACTTGGCACCGGAATCAGGATGGGAAGGCAGTTGCAGGTGATTCTGCATGGTTTTATAACAGATATTGGAATCCTGTGGTAGAGCCTAGCTCTGGCTAATATGGAAAGATATATTTTGCTTCGATCATTGCCTTAGGGATTTGTAGTCTATGTTTTTTCAGATACTCGTTCTATTTTCATTTTTATTTTATCTTAGTGATTTAATACGATTACTTTTGTAGGAGACTTTTAAATCATTTTATTTCCACGGCATTTAGCGAACTTCGATGATATTTATTTTCACTATCTAGCCTTTGAGATTTTGTAAAGACATTGAAAAAATAGTGCTACACTTTTTTTTTTGAGAGAGAGGGAGGGAGGGAGGGAGAGAAAGGAGAACTTAGCCAGTGTTTGAAAGGTTGACTTTTAAAAAATCAGCAGACTAACTCGGACTCGTGAACTGGCCGAGCGCGTATAGCCCTGAGGCACTAATCGGCTAATTTAATGTACAAATTGTTAATCGGCTGATTTGCAAAATTGACTGATTTGTACACCCATCGGAGATTGAAAAAATGAGTAGATTTCTAATGTAGTATAACCTCTTTCGCTCTATAGCTCTCTCCCTATCTTTATCTCTCTCTCTCGAACTTGGGACAAGGAGGCCCAAACTCTCTCTCTCTTGGGCTGGGCAAGGAGCCCCAATCTCTCTCTCTCTCTCTCCGGTTGGAGAGATGTATCCTAACCTCTCTCTCCTGGGTTGGCGCTATGTGTCCCAACCTATCTCTCTCTGCCCAACGTCTCTCTGGCAGTGGCCTGCCCCAACCACTCTCTCTCTTTCTCTCTCGGGTTGAGGCAAGGTGCCCCAACCTCTCTCTCCTTACCACTCCCTTCCTCCCTCGCTCTCTTCCCCTTGGTTTTCATCTCTCTCGGACTCTCTCCCTCTCTTTATCTCAGTCTGTCTCTCTATTTTCCTCTCAAATTAAATGTTTTTGAAAAAAATATAAATATGTTTTTATTCTCTAATTACTAAAGTGCAATGTGGATTTAATAATTTTAAAATTACTTTTATTCTCAAATTAGAGTTCTAGTATAAAAAACTTCTAATTAACTGAAAAAGTATTGCTTTAGGTACCTAGAAATTTTGTCCAGACTATAAGAACTCAGCACTAATCGGCTGACTAAGTCAAAGTCGGTCCGACTAAGTCAGAGTCGGTCCGACTAATCGGCTCGGACCATGACCGACTGGTCGGTCCGACTCATTCTTTCCAACACTGATCTTAGCTGCCCTGATGTGCGATGATGATGCCATGATGGTCTTCAACTTTTAACTGCCACATCAACCCTGGAGTTAACTTTAGTTATAATTAACCACCCGCAGCAAATCCCAGAATTGGATTAGTTATGTCAATTGTCTAGACCGTGTTCCAATCACTTACAAGAATAATCTAATAAAGAAAAGACCTTTTTATTAAATGCCTTGAGTTATCCGCATATCTGCCGTCAAGAAAGGTTGATGCAGCAAGGTTTGAATGGCTTCACTTTTCTGATAATATGGGCATTATAAATGTCATAATACAAAGAAGAAGAAAAGTGAATTTCCCCACGATACTTTAAAGAGTGAATTTCACTTGCTTTCTTCTTGTTTTGATATAAACCTACCAAAACAAAGAACACGTATAGCCAAAGAACACATAAAACAGACAAGAAATAAGAATCTTGAATTATTATTTCATAGCTGAGGTGGGTTCTTCCAATGGGTACCAGAATCTATTGTAAAACCATGTGGAATCAGCTGCCACAGCTTCTCCATCTTGGTTTCGGTGCCAAGTGTAATAGGCATGTGTTCGGTTCTTTATCTCAAAAATGGCGTGCCCAAAACTAGCTTCACGATAGGCTGAATACTTTGGCTGAGGCTCAGTCATACTGTCACAACAAGAACAGAAGCATCAGAACAGATGTATATTTCATGAAGACAAGCATGATATAATTCAATAAGAATAGAAGAAATATATAGGTTTTACCAGGAAAGCATGAAGGAATATATTGGGCTGGGAAAAGCATGGTCCAATGAAATGGTGATGGCAAAGCAGAGAGTGGGACCTATCATTGGGATCCTGCCTTGATTTGGTGGGATCCATTCTCTCCCCATTAACCACATCTTCATTGGAAAGTCATTCAAAATAATCTAAACTAAATTTTTATTGCATGAATGTAGCGAGAAACAAATCCATGGTAATAGCTCCAGAGCTTTAATGGTTAAATTACTAAAACCCCCCTTGACTCATTCTTAAAATCCTTTCCCCAACAACTTTTTAGAACATGAAAAAAACCCAGTACTGTTTTCTTTTGCAACTACCCCCAATTAAAAAAGGTCCCTTTTTTAAAAATTAAAATGCCCCATTTGACCAATGTTTAGAGCAATCATTTTTTTTTTTTCTTTTTTTTATGTGCCCGATTGAAAAATGAGTCCATGTCAGTCCAGGAAAAAAAATTGTGCCCGACTGACAAAACAAATGTGCCCGACCGGTCCAGTACAATGATTTCATAACACCGGTCCAGCAGCCTGACCGAAAAATGAGCCTGGTCCGGCACAAAAAATGTGTCAGACCGGCACTATGAAAACATGGGTATATGCAGAGAGGGGGGTATTTTTTTTTGGAGGGGGGGGGGAGGGGGGGTGAAAGGTATTTTGGTCATAAATTTATTGACCTTTTAACTGGGGGGAAGTGCAAAAGAAAATAATACTGTTTTTTTTTGGGTTTTAAATAGTTGTTGGGGGGAGGGTGTCAAAAAATTTAAGGGGGGTTTTAGTAATTTTCCCTTGAATTTATTAAGGAGCTATTAAAAATTTATCATCTTCATACATCTGAAGAGTTTTTTAAGTTTCATATTGCCATGCTTGAAAGTGCCAATCTATGGCAACAGAGATGGATGATATACCACTTTCACCTCAATTGACAGTTCAGATTTGGAATTGGGGAATTTGGAAATGAAGATATTGGTTGATTTTGTCCCTGGAAAAATCTGAACTGTCCGTTTGAATCCTTATAAAGTAACAAGTGCATAAAAGAGAATTGGGTATACTAATTAAACTTATAAAGCACATTTGGGCATAACAATGTGGGCTTTCTTCTTTCAAATAAGCTAACTTAGAAAATGTTTTGGAAATGGGTTTGTGCAAAGGTCTTACTTGGTTGCCAATCCTTCGAGGTTTCCTCCATCTCCGATGGTAATGTAGACAGGAGCAGATTGATCACTTATTGGGGTGCACTGTCCATTCACTACGTTGTATGCTATGTTGGATATGCGTTCCTGCAAGATGAAACTTTCACTTTTCTATGTGTATAACTTATAATCGTAAAAGGCATTACAGACAAATATATGAAATCCTTAAATAAGTTTCTATGGGCACATTGGTTGCTGTTTAAGATTCCCTTCACTATGGAGAAAATACTAAAGACAATATTTTTTTGCTTGTTGTAAGAATTAAATATGATATGCTTGAACTGTTATTCAATTTGTAAAAGATGAATATTGATACTGAGCTATATAAAAAGTTGAATGAACATATAAAAGGATAACAACTTACCGATCGTTCGTAAGCATGAACATGACCAGCAAATACAACATCTACTTTGTATTGCACAAACCATGGCTCGTACATCACTCTCATGGTTTCTCCTTCCATATAATGATAGTTATAGCTGTTATACCATGGTGAATGCATGAGCACAATCAACCATGGAGTTTCCTTTCTGTCCACCTTAGGTAGCTCTGCTTCAAGCCATCTGTATTGGGGAGTGTACTTCCCTAAAAAGGCAACCCGATTACCATTGTCACAATCAATCACGAGGTAATATCTACACATTTAGTGCAATCAGAGATGATCATTTAACAAATTGATACTGATATTAGACTGATTACTATAATTTAGCATAATTTGCCAAATCAATAATCATCCAATTACCAGTTTACAATATCATGACAAAAAGCAATAAAAGATGGACAATGTTTATAATAACACAAATTTATAAGAAATGGAAGAAGTAGATTGAATAAATGTACACATACCATAAGCTGAGTAGGAAGAAAGGACAATGATATATGCCGATGCCCGCTTGATGGAGTACCATAATGAAGATGTACTTCCTGATGCTCTATAGGGTGTATGATAACGATTTCTGTATGGCTTAAATGGGACCTTTTCACCCTACATTAACATCAGGTGGTACATGAAAACCATTGCATATTATTAAAAAACCATTATAAACCAGCATATTATTGTAAACCATTACAAACCACGGGATGGCCGCTTAAGTTAGAGATTTAATATAGTTTTATTTTGTCGGAGAATTCACTTAATTTTAACTGCGGTCTAAACAACCAAAGATATATCAGAAAGCATAATTCTACTACTATTGCAGAAAATTGATGAGTTGTATCAATACACAGATGAAATAGCTTTGTTGTAAATATTGATAGAATGATACAAGCTGTCTCCAACTAATTAAATGTGCGGGCCAAAATAAGAAAATGAAAAGCACCTATAAGTAATCTTGTGACAGGGTCTAAGCTCTTTCTCTTTTTTGTCTTTTTTGTTGTTGTTTTTGATTGATTGATTAGCTTTAAGCTCCATTTCTTCAAGGGAAATTATGCTGTAATCCAATGGACCACGGAAAAATTAGTCCATTGGATCATCATCATCCATGGATGTGAGAGAGAGTGAACATCCCCTCAATGGTGGGGACCTCTCTCTATCACCCTCTGTCATTTCCATGGAGGGTGATGATCCAATAGAGTATTTATTCCTTAGTCCTTTAGATCATTCTACACTTTCCCTCTCTTTAAAGACGGTAGCTTGATTTTGTAATATATCCAGTACTTACAATTTCAGGAACAAAATCAATCTCATGATTGCCTGCAGTCCATATCCAAGGTTGGTAGGCAGCACTCCTCTCAGTAAATCTACCCCATGTATCCCATCTGACATTATCATGAAATGGATAATTATCCGCATATGAAAGGTCCCCGACATATAGAACTGTTTGCCCATTGGGGTTGGATTCATAGTGTGCAAGTGTTCTGTTCGAATCAAAACTCTGACCAAGATCCCCTGCATATGTGACAATACTATCAGGGTGAACCTACAGTATAGAATCACAATATTATCAACGTGAACCTATCAGTATACAATCTAGCAATTCAAAATTCAGACCATGGAATATGGAAATGAGAAAAGAATAAATGATAGAATCCGTCACAGCAAAAGAACATCAAACCCATGAATGTGCTCAATTTTCTATATGAATTTATGCATGCCAAGAAGCACATACAGCTCAACTACCTTTAGTGGAACGATCATGTCGCTTACAATATTACTATTGTAAGGAGCTTGGACATCACTGAAATTACATTTTGTTGCAAGGTTAGCTGCTTATTGATCATTATACAGAATTGGTTTGCTGAGTTCATCTGAGCTCTTGCTCATAGAGGGTTCATCCATCCACTAAATATCGTATTCGACCCTACCGCTCATATTTTCTTTTGCCCAATGACATTGAGAGTACAGAGTGCTGGATTTTGAAGAAGCTACACTAGGGAAGCTAGGGCCAAAATCCTTGGGCCACTCCATAAACTAACAAACTACAACCAATAACATTTAAAGTAATATCCATCTATCTTGTAAAGGCTACTTCAATTTCAGAGTAAAAGTTTCATGGAGCAATACCTATGAGGCCAAAAGTATAAGGAACATCCGGACCAACTTTTGGAGGAGTTCTAAAAGAGAACTGGCGCATTGTGTGCTTGATTCCAACCTCATAGTAATATTGGGTATCAATCTGCACAGCTCACAGAGAATAGTTCAGTGCTCCAAACACATCTGAATATGGAAATAATATTGCAAATTTAAAAGAGGTCGCATGCAAAATAATATCAAGTCATATGAGGTGCAAAGTGGAACTTTTTACTAGGAACTTAAAAATTCAAAATATCAAAAGAACAGTTGATTCAAACAGATGAATAAAAAATAATCACTTTTAGGAGAGGAAATTGAAAGGGGAGGCATAGGCAGAGGTAAAGTTGAATAATAAATGAGCATACCTTTAAGTTCCTAAGCGTGCAATGATGAATAAAACCCGAAGTATAATTGTAAAACTTGTATTTTCTAACGTGTCCTTCAGCATGATACTTGTGCTTATCATTTGCAGTCCAATAAAGCACAGTATTCGAACCAGGCTCTGATGGGGTGACCCAAGATACTATCACACCCTTTCCATCATGATCTCCTTGTGTTATATGAACCTGAAAATGAAAATGAAAACCCAGTTGTGGGTTGGGCAAACTAATAGTAAGAAACCAAAAACACAAGACACACAGAGAGAGAAAGGGAGGTACAAATCAGTAGCAAACAAACTAGCACAAAAAGCACAGGCACACTCACAAAGATAGAACGACAGCAGAGTAGCTAGAACACAGAGATAGAATCACCTGTTGAGGAGCATTGTAGCCTGGTGGGACTCGGAATACATCACTATCAAGAGGCATATCTTTGGTGGGTTCGACTTTCCTGACAAATAAACTTGTAACACCACCATTGCATAACATTGCAGCATTCAAAATCAATCCAAAAACCAAAAGCACCGTCAACCCCATGTTCTTTTCTCTCTTCTCCTCCTTCAACTTCTTTGCAGGAGAAAGAAGTAAACTATAACATGACAAACTAACTCCATTAATAATACTTATAGAAGGAGAAATAATAGAAAAGGGGAAACCTTCCTTTGAAACAGGGGAATATGCACATGACAGATCCGCATAAGATTAGTTAGGGTGGACATTTCAAGTTCACCACAGATGGCAGGGATAAGAAAGAGAAGAGAAGGAAAGTTCATGTTGACTTCAACCCATATGGGGAAAGAGAAAATTGTGCATTGATCACATAAGCCGGAATCAAAATCTTGGGTGTTCAGACGATTAAAAGGTTAAAAATTTTAGAAAGATCCAGTACAAGCAAGGTCAGAGTCTTGGATGCAACGCCCACCCATGTATTCATTTATGAAAGGATGAGGTTTCTGTAAGGCCTAGGCTTTAATAAAGCCTCACCTCAAATTCTTATCCAAAAAACAAAAAATCTCAACAATGGCTCTAAAATCAAAAAACAAAAAATCTCAACAATGGCTCTAAAATCAATATATGGAATGGGCAGTGAAATTTGAAGTTAAAAAAAATGGTACATATCTTGAGCACTTTTTTTTACTATGAAATGGACGGTTTAGATAATTTGTTACAATATACCTTATTTTTAGAGCTTAAAATTCTATTTTTTTTCATAATAATAAAGTTCAAGCCAAAGCTTTTTCAATGCTGGAACTATAAATTTCAATGACTTATGAGATGAGGCTTTACTTATTTTGATAGGACGGGAATCCTATTAGTTTTCATAAGGCCTAGGCTTTATGAAAACGAAAAATAGCCTCACCTTAAATCTTCATTTGGAAAGCAATTTCGGCATCGAAAATCATCATGATGGCTCTAAAATTAATTTTCAAGACCGACAATATATTTGAGACTCAAAAAATGATAATCGATCTTACAGATACATAAACATTTATTTTTAAGGTGAAATGGATGATCTAGATGATTTATTACAATATATACTACTTTTAGAATTTGAAATGATTTTTTTTTGCACGACCATAACATTCAAGCTCATGTGATCGATGTAAATATTTTTCAACACTGTTGAATTAGGATGAGTTATGCAGTGCAGCCATATCAAATCATTTTCCTTTGTGTATTATGAAAATACGTGGAGAAAGAGAATTTTGATTCAAGAGAGAGAAAGAGGGAAGAATGGGGACCACAGTTTAATGATCACGCTAAAAAGTCCAAAGAATGGAAAGATTCAATGCTAAAAAGTCCAAAAGAAGTGGAAAAGGTGTTAGGCTTTATAAGTTGAGAATCTTGACTACACGGGACATGTGGACCCTCTTCCATGGGAAAGTGTAATATAATCTATATACACTATACAATGTCTATGGTCATGAGCTTTAAGACCATCGAATTGATGTATGGACGGTGATGATCGAAGACCCAGCCCCACTGGAATGATTCAACAATCCAAATTTATTCAAGAACTCAATCTTTTTTTTATTAACATGCTCATAGTTGATTATATGCGCAAAAGTTCATATCAAACAAATCCTCCTAAATGGGTATTTGCCTAAGGAAGCAAGTGTATGGTGGGCACTATGAGAGCCCTATACGCGACCTTTTAATCATTGAGTGCTCAAGCTACTCAAATTGAAGTCCATGTGGTCCACAATCCGAGGTTCATTAGTTCGTTGACACGGTATCATCATTTAAGTTTTATCTCAAGTAAGTTGGTCGATATGGCATATTAAATAAGTAATTTTTTTTTATATTTATTTATTTTTGAGTTTTAAGTTCTTAAAAGATGTATTACAGAACCCATACAATATGCGTACAAGTGCTCTATTTTATGGGGTTATAAGAATGATATAAAATTGATATGTGTACAAAAGCTTTATTTTTACGGGGTTATAAAATTAATATACAGTATATATAGGCTGTTTATAAAGTCAATAAAGACGGTTGTATATCAAAAGTGACATGCTATTCAAGTCAAAAGTAGTACCACTGTAGTAAGAAAATATTGTATATTTTCACAAATAAAAGGTATAGTTCTATTTTTAACCATAATGGTATGTATGCAATGTGATACGAGGATAAATATGAAGGTTCAATCATCAATAGAACCTATTGTAGTAAAATCATGTTAATCACATATTGTCTATAATAAAAAATTAAAAATGAGATTCCTCCCACTGGCATGCCACCGGGGATGGTTAATGCATTGACAACTCTAGAATTAGGCCAAATAAAAAAGGGTAATTTATCTAAATACTCATGAAAGAAAAGCTATTTAACATTTTACTTATATCTTTTGATTTAATTTCAAAATACTTATAAAAAAGGTACATAATAATGAGTTAGAATAATTGTGAATGGGTGAAATGTAGAATAATTCATTTCTTATGCAAATTTTGATAAATTTCCCTTAAAAAAAACTTCTAAACATTGAACATGTGATTTAACCGCTTTCTATGAAAATTGATATTTTCTACCCCTATGCCCAAAGAATTGTCCTGCTTTCATTGTAAAAAGACTTTTGCCTTTGCTATTTTGACTTTGGTAGCTTACGGATAAGTCGCTGCCTTGTTTTTATATTCTTTCTCAAATTTTTTGTTTGATTTTTAATACTGTTCTGTTAAAAGCAACAAAGTTTGTTGGGAGAGATCAATAAATCAAGAAAAAAAAAAAAAGAAAGAAAAATGTGGGCAACATGAAATGGATGATGCTATAGTACTGTAATTCTATCTCTCATTTCTTTTGCGGATAATTGCTCTGATAAAGCTAATTGAAAGAATGAAAAGATCCATGGACGCATAACTACATTTGCATCCCCCGAGACATACCTCACGCATCCATCAGATATGAAATTGAAAAAGGTAAAATCTACAGCTCAAAAATTTCCTTCAAAAAATTATCATTTTTAGTTTTTAAAATTTATTTATTTTACATGTTCATGATCTCCGTATACCTAAAAAGATAGGTACAAAATCCATCCGAAAAATGGGTGGTCATGAGGGGACGCATATCTATATATGAGTTCTAGGACTCACAAAACTGTCCACTGAAGAATGCTCAAGATTGGGGAAGCTAATGATTAAAGTCATCGGCCTCAATGTTATAAACAAGGCCAGGATTCGCCCTGGTAGGGCTTACATGGCCTGAAACCATGGCAAAGGTGCTTGTTTACGGTGCTCATCTCTAATCAAATTCTCCTTCTTGTCGAGAATGTTTGCTGCAAATAAGTCTCATATTTTTATAAAATATTTTAAACAATCATTTCTTTTCAAAATTACTCGAAAAAATATTGCTTATAACAATTTCCAAAAAAAAATCGAAATTTTAATATCCAGTTTCAAACCATCTCATATCAACCTTGATTGAGATTTTAAAATTTTAGGCTACATAGATTTACCCAAAATGTACTAGAATGTATTTAACTTTACTTGGAAGGTATTTTAATGTGTATTACATTCATGTCTATATTTATTGGATAACTAAATTTGAGAGGGAGATGAGTACGCAGAAGAGAGAAAGATCTAAACATTATTTTCATATCTTATTTAAAGAGAGAGAGGTTTTCATATCGATGATTATCTCGTCATTGTTTCCTTATCTTAATTTGTGAGAGAGATCATCATTCTTTCCATATTTGAAGCGAGATATTTCCATATTCATCCTTATTTCAACATTAATTAGAGAGGTACAAGAGATAAATATTTCTATATCCATCCTTGTCTGAACATTATTTATTTCTATTTTTTTTAAAACCTCTTAAAGTCGGTAAGAATTAGATATTGTATTTATTTATTTATCCCATTCTATCCTTTTTCTAAAAGTTGTGCATGCAAGTCATCTCCCATCCCCCCTTCCCCTCAATTTTTCAGTTCAAAACTCCTAAAATGGGTACTTTATCCCCACTCAACCCTTGTTAGGTAGAGAGAGAAGTACCAATGAACTAAAATTAGGGAAATGTTAAAATTTACCCTATTTGATTATAGTAATATATAGAGAAGCAATAAAGTTTAACCTATCTTGTTATGGTAAGTAAATATAAAAAAAATAAAAATTATCTTATCTTACTATATAATAATATATAGATAAGTATATAATGAGACCGTTTACCTTTGGTACAAGGTGGTCACAATTAATTCGGACTATTGGATGTGAAAGTAGGTGGTTTCATTTTCTCCATTAACCAAACACAAAGCTCAAAAGAAATTTTCTCAAACTTTGTGATACACCCAAACTATTATATGTCATATGGGATGACTATAAGTAATTGTGACCTTCTTGTACCACAAATAAATAGTCTCATGGTATACAATCCCATATTATATAGGATAAATAAAATTCAAGAGAAAAAAAATATATGCATATCATATCTAAGATGGTGTTTCCATATCTTAATAAGAGAGAGAGATTTCTATATGGATGCATCTCCCCATGGTTTATATATCTTAATTTGAGAGAGAGATTAACACACTTTCCCTATCTTAAATGCGGTCCAGCCCACATGAAACAATTTTTCTTTCCTTAAGTTGTGAGTTAAATTACTTTTTAGCACACTACTATCAAAATGTGTTTTTTCAGGAATGCGACCATAATAAGATGTTGCTACTAATATAGTTATCAAGAATCGACATCACTAGCAGGTTTGACTAATTGATGTCTTGATTAGTTTGGTCCAAAACAAAAATTAAGTTATATAGTAGGTTTTGACCCTTTTGACCAACAATATTTTTTGTTATACAAGTTAAACGAAGGTTTTCAAATTTGTTTGTTTTTTTTTTTATAGAATTTGTAATTCTAAATATTATTAAGGAATATTCTATAATTTTTAAGTTCTAATCTTACCTGGTCGTGGTCCAACAGATATTAACTGAACCGAACACAGGTTTGGTGGTTTGTCTGATCCTAAAAAAAAAAAATTGGCCAATTATGCGCACTCCTCACTAACATAGTGGTTTTACCGCTATTCGTCTAGGCTCTTAGTAAATATCACTGTAACCACTTTAAGTTCTCATTTTGATGACTTTTTCATAAGCTATAATATGGCATCCAACTGGAGTAAATGGTCCAAGTCCATGTTAGATATAGGGAAATAATAAATAATATCTTTACTTAATTTAAGTTTTTGTTTAACCAACTGATTATCCGACAACCAAAGAAAAAGAAAAAGATCGTTAACCTCTCCGCTATCAAATGAATGATCTAGAGGGAGAAAGAATCAATCCTTTTTTACTCTATTTGTTCTCACATTCTTTATATTTTTAATAACTAGGATTCATGACTTATTCTAAGATAAGAATAAAGAAATAATTTCTTTGTTTACTTTTCATTCTCAACCAATTTGGCATACAGGATTACTACTAATCCGTGTCATTATCACTTTAGTCTAGTATAT